TGCCTTCTGTTTTTCACAGCTAGATTGTGAAAGTAGTTCACTCTGTGGAGTCATTTTGGGATGACGACCACTGCAGCTCTGATTATTCTTCATATGTATGTTGCCACGGTGATGGCGGTGCGCATAGACGCAGCGCCCCCTTCAGGAGACAACAGAAGTGAACGTTTTGAGTGTCTTGTCTATCCTACATGTTCATTCTGTAAAACTTGCAGCCAGGAGACTTTGCTGGGCGTCAGGACAGTGGACGGCGATCGGTTGTGATGTGGACATCGATCAGAGACTACGCCGGCAGTTACCTGAGAGAGAAGGAAGCGGTACAAATGTAAACAAAGGAGGAGGAAGAGAGTCGTGATCCATGCTAGGCTAAAGGCTAACCCCTCCAGACCAGCAGGACCGTCCTCCTACTCTCCAATGTCCACTCCCTCCACAACAAGCTGGACGAGTTACGTTTGCTGAGAGAAACCCACAAAGAGTGGAGGGACTGCTGTGTGTTTGCTTTAACAGAAACATGTCTCCATGACAACATCCCAGATGGACATACAGCTGGAGGAGATGCAGACAGACAGACAGCTAGCTCTGGGCATGTGTCCCTGAAGACCTACCAGGACCTGAAGAGGTTCACCATGTTCAACGAATGGTGGTGTGCATGGATACAGCGCCCCCTTCAGGAGGCAGCGAGAGTGAATGTTTAGTGCAGGGGTGTCCAATCCTGGTCCTCGAGGGCCACAGTCCTGCATGTTTTAGATGTCTCCCTCTTCCAACACACCTGATTCACATGATCAGCTCATCATCAAGCTCTGCAGAAGCCTGATAACGATCCTGATCATTAGAATCAGGTGTGTTGGACGAGGGAAACATCTAAAACATGCAGGACTGTGGCCCTCGAGGACCAGGATTGGAGACCCCTGGTTTAGTGTCTTATCCCAGACGTTCATTCTGCAAAACTAATTAAATGATCCTGAAGAAACGCTCTCTCATCTTGCCTGTACCACTGTGTATGAACAGCAACATGACAATAAACCTGATTTGATTTGATAATCTGCACCTGAACTGTATATATGTGTAAATATGTTTGGGCTTTTTTAGAGGTGGATATTTTTTGTACTTTTGATATTTATTTATCTATTACCTTTTATGGTCCGTCTTGGTTCTCCAGCTTCCTCCCACACAGTCCAAAAACATGTTGAGGTTAATTGGTGATTCTAAATTGTCCGTAGGTGTGAATGTGAGTGTGCTTGGTT